AGTTTACAATGTCTACAGGAGTGCTAATTTCTCAAACGAAAAAAGGTGAAGTGCCTAAAAAGAGGCTGTAGAAAAATGTCTTTAAATATCAAACCATCTGCTTTTGCAATTGTATTTCCGTTTATTTGGCTGATGTAGGTAAATTCAGTGTAATCCTAATATCATGTCTTCTTCCACATCTTCATTTTTAGAAGAAAGCTTTAATTTATCCAGACCATGTTGCAGTTAATGAAGTATCTAAGCTATTGACAGCATTCTGAAGTGAAATGTACTTCCAGCCATCTAGTGTTTCTTTTATTTTTTCTCTTTTCTTCAGAACACTGTGTAAAAAAAGCTTTTACTTTTAACTATTTGCAATTAAATCCCTCCCCAAAGCCTTTTAATTTGTGTTTTAGTACTTCTTTCTAGAACACAAAAACAGTTAAAAAAACCCAATGCCTTCTCCCAGCAAAGACAGAGAAAACAGTTCTAAATCAGATTGAGCCTGTACATTATGGGGACCATCAAATCCTTTACTCTAGCAGTTGCCTCAGCAGAGAAAATATATTAAGGATCATTTTAATTAGATTGAGGTCCCATATATGGCTGTCTAACTTTTTGAGGAACAGAGAAAGGGCAGCAATACAACTGAAGGTCATCTGAACCTCTCTAATAGACTGTGTTACTCAGACCAGTTGTTAAATAGAGGAAAAATTGAGTTCTGGGGTTAACTTGTGTCATCACCCAAAGCAAGGAAAGGATTTTCTTGTGTTTCTGGTTAGGATCAGTTCTCTAGGTTTTCTTGCAGTGCAGATCTCAAACACTGCAACAGATTGTAGGTGTGTGTCCAGATTGCATTAACAATCCCCTTTTATAACTGCAAGCAAAGTTTATTCTGAAGTTATAAAGGTCACACTAGTAATAGCACGACAGGTTGACATGACATATAACCATGACCTATTTTATAGTTCTCTTCAAAGATTTTTAATATTCATCAGAGAAAGTCTGGGAAGTAGGTACTTTATTTACTCAGTGAAAGCTTATAAAATAGCTATATTAAATTTTTTATATATGTCTGTGATTTTAATTTACTGCCCTTTCTTCTTGTTTCTCAAATATATTGTTCTGAATGCTGTTGACAGAATAACAGTGTTTAATTATACCACAAGGCTTTATTTATGGGCAAACCATTTCAAAGGAGGAAAAAATACAAATAATTTTTCTCAGGTTTAGCTCTGAAACTAAATTTGATCTGGCTGCATGAAGAAGCCTTCTTTATTTAGCATGCTTGGGCAAGCAGCGCTCTGTCTCTTGAGAGATTAATATTGTAAGCAAGTTATGCAGGTGACTCAAATCCAGTTAATCTCACATAAAGAATGTTAATTGCATTGGCAATGGCATTCACTCTGATCAGTTTATAGCTGTATAATTAGCTATTGGACATATTCACAGGGTTGTCTGAGTGATACAAATCCAGGAAACAACATGAGAGAGAACTTGTTCTTTCCTGATTCATCCTGTATAAAATGCAGAGATGATGGAAAAATGGAAAGAACAGTTATTGGTATTTGCATGTCCTTGCCAACTGGGATCTTTACTTACATAGCTATTTCTTTTCTAGCAATTTCTTAACTGGTTTGGGAAATACACAGTTTGAGAAGCAGATCTGAAACAAATGTGTGTGTACACTCCTAATACATCAAATCCTTGATGTGGAATCAAGTGATTTACCTAATGACCTTTGGGCCATTTCCTGTCTTATCAGCTGGGTTCTCCTAAAAATGTGATAGGAATTTATTTTCTAATCTCCCGTATAGAAGGATTTACAGCCACAAGTAGCAATTTCATAAACATGCATACATTAGTTTTTTAGCTGTTTACAGGCAGCTTTTATAAACATGGTCTAAAATTGTTTTTGTATGCAGACTAAGCCAACATACAGGCACGTGCAGAGTTATTTGAATTCAGTGTGGATGAACCCGGGTCTCTAAATCACCTATGAGGATGCTGATCTGGATCTAAATTTCTTGGTGTAGGATCATCTCTTGAAAAACAAATATCAAAATGCAGAGAGTGTTGTGTATGAGCTCAGAGCAGGGTTTGGTCTGAGCTCTTCTTAGGAGAGAAGCTGAGAATAAGATACTGTTGTAAACTTACATAAAGCTTCATTAAGATATTCCATTCTAGATCCACATAATTACAGCCAGGCCAAGTGCATTGCTAGCATTTACGTCAGCAACTAATACTTTTGTTACTTTGTCCAGTTCTAATAAGTTTGTCAAACTAAAAGTCGTTATCCAAAAAATCCCATGCTGGATTTGAAAACTGAATTTTTATTTTGTTTTAATTACCAAAATAATTAATTCTTTTTAAAAAATGTTGAAGCTAATGCAATTTTAAGGAGAAAGCGGTGATTGGAGGGAGGTGGAGAAGGATTTGAAGGAGAGGAATGGAGGTAGCTTTTTGTCCTGAGAAATGCAGGTCCTTCATACTGAATAGCTGGGACCTAAAATTTGATGGGAAATACCTACACTATACCAGAGATGCAATTTCTTTGCTTGTCCAAAGAATTTTCACTAAATTTAACCAAATATACACCTGCTTAAACAAAGAATAAATGATCAGTTCATACATCAGAGAGACAAGGTAGAATGCAGGTCTAACAAACTTGGGAAATGAGCTTCGTTTTCCTGGAACTGCACTGCACTCCTGCAGCTGTCATTCTCTTGGGATGATGCTTGGTTACTTCAACCAATTTTTCTTGTGTTAATATTGTGGAAAGCAGTATTCTGGGCTAAAAGCAGACAAATCGGGAATAAGGAAGCAGTCATCAGCTCAAAACATCTGGCGCAGCCAGCAGCTGGAATGAAGAGGGGCTTGAAGCACTGTTGCAGTCTGGCAAAGATACATAGGTGAGGGTAGGAGCAAACCTAGCTGGAGCTGGGGAAGAGTCAGGAAAGTACGTACACAGAAGAAAAAACCTGATGAAGAACACTCAGGACAAGGAGCTGTAGAGAAGGTTATATGTGACTTGTAGACAGACTTGAAACAGGGTATAAAGGTAGACCTCAAGGTGAAGAGAGAGAGAGACTAGAACTGAATTTACTTACTCAAACACTAATGGAACCTGCAGGTCCTGGGCAGGACTAGGAACAGAACAACAGCAATGGCTTGGAAGAACTGGGGAGAAGAATCTCTGCCCATTAGACATGTTTTTATCTTTAGCATCTGGAAAAGTGCTTTAGATTCTTGAGCATGTCTATTCTTCTGCTGACAAAATATGTTTTCCCTGCCAATAGGTCCCTCTGCTTGTATCATGGAATTCCTATGTGATGCAGTCACTCATTTACATAATTATTAACAGGTGGTTTTGTGTTCCTTATTTTCTGACTTAATATTCTGATTTGTACAAGTGATGAACATTTTAATAACTGCAACTGAAATCAAAATTAATGCTAAATTTCCCCTCCTCCCACAAAAAAGGGCAGTTTTGCGTTTCAGGTTGGGCATGAAAATTTAGCAGCTACTTCTTCTCATGCTTTCTTAGCTCTCCATTGCGCCTCAGAGAGGAGCTATGAAAATAAGAGTATTGTTTATAAAGCATTAAGATGGGTACAGTGGAGGTCATGAGGAAATTAATAATTCTGCATTTGAAGTAAAGTTTGAGTAGTCTGACAGGAGGCCACCCACTGAACGGAGTGACAACAGGAAAATATTAAACACCCGCTCACTAAATGAATACCAACAATCTAAAGAGGTTTGGGAAAAAAATAGTGTGCCATCATATAATTGCAGCCAGTCCCATAAGGTATAGATAGGAAGGGAGTGATTAAAGGGTGCACAGACAGCCTTAGTTCTGGCACTGAGGTGCTGTGTGCTTGATTTTGCAATGTTTTTAATGTTCTTTTAATGCTATACTATTACTATATAATAATTATTATTATTATTGGTATTATTATTGTACAATAAACATGGATAACCAACCTGTAAACTCAGCTCTGTAGTTATCAAGACAAGCTGCCTGAGTCAGTATCTGGTACCATTTACATCTGTGTGAAGTTTAAGTTAAGTTTTTAAGTGACATTATACCCTTCAACTTGCTGAGAATGAAATGTGAAATGTAGTGTGTAACCAGTTTTAAATATCTTTATAATAAATCTGCCTTGAAATACTGCTTTGTATAAACCCAGTGTTACAATGGTTTGACTAGAAGAAATAATTTATGACAATAAAAGTGTGGTATGGCTAGGGGAGGATAGAACAAAATTCATTCAATCCAAAGGCAACTTGGAAACTAACCCCAGTGACATCCTCTCAAATGAAATTACCGGTACTTTGAATTTGTACCAGTATAACTGAGATCAGATTGTGGCTCTGCATCTGGATTTTAAGCAGGCCTGTACAACATTATGATGATTAATAATATTTGTAGCTGTGCAGGCTAACATAACAAGGGTAAACAAAACTTATTATTCAGATCTTAATTTAGTTTTCCATGGTGAAGTTAGTGATGGGGATCAGGGAATCTCTGAGCTCTGTAGAATAGTCCACAGTTGGCTGAGATTCATAACACAGAGTTTACTTTTCCTATAAATCATAAAGATATTGATTATTGCCAAAGGCAGGATATCTCCATTGGCAGCTCATACATCGCTAGGGCAGACAGGAGGTTTTAGATCACGCTCTGTGTATGTGGCAGTGCAGAGCCAAAACGTTCACAGGGAAGGGCATGGCCTTGGAGACCTCTCTGCTTGTGTGGTGTGTGGGTAGTCATTGCTAGCACAGGCTTCCTTCTGCTGGCACTGAGCTATCACGTGAGGGCCAGATGCGACAGCCCCTGGCTCTCCAGCCTGGAATCTTCTTGGTTCTTTATGCACATCATCAGTTCCACTTGTCTGAATTTGTGGAGCTCAGCCTCCTTTCTTCATTCTGTGAATTGGTAAACAGAAAGATGCTGAAAAGTCAAAAGTGTTCATTTCAACCCTCTGACTCACTAAAGAATTTTAATATCTCTTTTCAAGAACGGCCCACGTTTCTCAGGCGACCGATTAACCAAGTGGTGCTGGAGGAGGAGGCTGTGGATTTCCGGTGCCAGGTGCAGGGGGATCCCACACCCACAGTCCGGTGGAAGAAAGATGATGCAGACTTACCAAGAGGAAGGTGAGACCAACATTCATGTTCCCCACACTTACAAATTCCAACTATTGAGTAATGCTGGAATCGCTCCCTACTACTTATAGTTTGTTATTTGACATTACGGCCAAAATTTATTTCCCATAAAGTGGTCTTTGGCACCACAAAACCTGTTCCAGAGCCAGCTAAGCAGGGAAACCCAATCTGAGTTGAGTTGTCCAGGTAATGGATTCCTGTGGAAGGAAGAAAAGTGATGTGTAGGTATTGCGAGCAAATGGGTGTTCACTGAATTTACTGGAGAAAGATGTTTTAGGAATGTACTGGTGATAACAGCCTTCATAATAACGTGCTGATACCAAAGGGAGAAAATTTGGCTGCAGAGTTGCAGAGCCATTCCATTGCACTTAGCAGGATGAATTGGAAGCGGAGTGCTGTGGTAGGCTTTGTTGGCTTCTTGGCTTATATCTCTTAAGTCTCAGAGAGAAACCTTCCTCTTGAGGAATCAAAATACTAGGCTAGCAGAAGTGGAAAACAAAGTTGAAATCTGGAACAGGCCCCTTGTGTTCAAGAAAGATTCATTTAGTCTGGAACAAATGTGGAGAAAATTCCAAGGAAAGTAGGAGATGAGAGTCTGTCGTAAAAGGATATTAAATTATCTTGGCTCCTTTTAGCTGAGAGAACAGAGCTTGGTCCTTGCTTTCTGGAACTTTTTCTAGTTTTGATGCTGAATCATTATTAGATTAAAAGATGTTAACACAGAAATAGTTCTGGCAACAGGAATTAGAACCCAGGTCTGCATAACAAAACTGATCCTTCTGACCCTGTGACACCTGACTCACTTTTGCACCATGCTTTTAATTTCAACAGGAGACATGAATAGTGCCTCTTTTTTTCACTCACCACAATTGATTGTTCTTTCTTACCATGGAAAGACAAGGGTTGGTTATACCTGGGGTGTTGCCAAACAAATTTGAAGAAAGGAGAAAAAAAATCTAAAACTTCTGTTCTTTAAACCAGTGCTTTAAACACTGGAGTTACATAGGCTGGCTGTCAGTTGGTATTTCTAATCCTCCAATCATGATCTTAAAACAGAGTAGCTGCAATGGTGTTTGTAGCTAGTTTGTGTTGTTTAAAAATTGCATAGCTGTTTTGCTAATTGTATTGGTAGATGTATATGCATGTAGTACGTAGAATATTTTGAAGATCAGAATTTTGGATGGCAGGATGAGGTTTTTTCTCTTTGTTTGCCATTTAACCATGCCTTGTAGCGTAGTCGTAGTAAATACATTGCGTTTCTGTGATTTGTTCTTACTGCCGTACTACTTCCGTTGTTTTAAATCATGTCTGCTTCTAGGTCTTATAAGCAGAAGTAATGGAAGATGAACAAACACTGCCTTTGATTAGGTTTAACTTTTTATTCGTTTTTTTCCAATGACTATGTTCCTCTGTTTTCTTTTATGTCTGATTGTGAAAAACATAGTATTGTGGCCTTAGGGGTAATTTTTACTATTCACTCTTGATGTATTTGTAAAGAAGAAATGTAACAGGAATCATAGAAAGAGTTTTCACTGGGCTTTTAACTAGGAGAAGGTTTGTCAGATACATTCTGCTCATAATCAACTTCAGACTCAGAACTACTCACAATGTTTTGCAGTGTTTTTGCACTGTTTTTTACCATTTTATTAACTGTGTTTCAGCATCTTCAAGCAGAATGTGGGGGTATGTCTTCATTTATCTCTTCTTCCCAGAGCATCAGAGGGGTGGGTAAAGAAGGGCCAAGGTTGCCAAATCTCACACTGGGGACCACCTCAGGTAATAGACGACTACCACTGCCCCTGCCTGTGTAGCAAGTTACCACCACCTGAGCCCCATGGATTGTGGTCATCTAGTAGAGTCCAGCATACACTAAAAAAGCAAACATATCTGATGATCAGGACTTTATGGTTACTTTTCTCAATTGTATTCATTTGTATAGCAAGGTATATGAGCAGAACCTTCACTGTCCAAAAAGTGGAAATTTCCAAACCATGCTGTATGGTACTTAATCAAGGAAGATAAACTTGGAAGGCCTAAAAGAAAACCTGTTATTTTCTTCTGGATATTTTAATGCAAGCAAAGAAATCTGCTCAGGTGTAGTCTAAATGAATAGATGGATGAGAAAATGATAATATAGCAACTTTATGCATTAAGAAGAAAATTTCTTCTTAGAAAAAGGAAAGTCTTTTCCTCCTTGACAAAGTGGGGAGGGTTTTATTTTCTCTTTTTTTGAGTCAAAACCAAAATTAGCTTTATCTTCTGAGCTCCTGTATTATAAGGATCTGCAGTTAAATATGAATCCCTCAAGGAATGTCCTTTTTAATTCTTTCTATATACAGAAATTCTTCTGAGCATATCTGTGCAGCTATTTGTCTTACAGTTTTCAATATCCATTTTCTTGTTTCTACACCTAACAACGTTCTTTGCACATCTGTCTGTTTTTATTCTGTTAATAATTTTCTATGGCTTCATCCCTAGATTATGAGACAATTATAGTAGGTACCTGTTTCAACAATTAGTGCACATTTTCAAATGTGTCTGTTGTTACTTCAGCTTTCAGAAGTGTTTAGTTCAGTGCTAGTAAAGTGGAATGAATCGAAATTGTATATGCATTTTGTTTCTGTGATTCTCCTGGTGAATGCCAAAATCAGTGATACTGCATCCATAGCCTTCAGAAATCCTTCTCTGTTTTTCTGTCTTCTTTCCTTTTAGCTTTTTTTAGTGACACATGTGAAAGCAAAGAGAAAAGTAATCACAGTAATTTCTGGTGACAAATATAAACAGTATTGCTGCACCGATTGGTGTGTTGAGTAATAATTGGAAAATAATTTCAGGCTGTTACAGTTTTAATTATAAAGGTCCCTGGTGAACTGTAAGCATCTCCAGTTGCAATTGGATTGAATGAGGGGGGGAAAAAACAGTTTCTAAAGTAATTATTATGTTTGAAAATATGACTATGAAAAAAAATGTAATTTGGCCATTTTGTTGAAGTTTCTATGTAATTATCCAGAAATTTATGAATAACCATGCTTTAAAACTGAAAACAGAGGGACATCAATTTATTCTGAAGGTGCAAGGCTTGCTTCCAAATTTTAGTTATTTTGAATTGATGATAGAAACCGACTATGATAGTCTATATTTTGAATTTAAAACCTTGAAAAGGTTCTTATAGTGGAAGTTTTCAAAATGCCTGGGAAAAATAGGTCTCACTACCAGTCAAGGAAGTTACTTGTTCAACATCTTGTACACCTGACTTGAGGTTTCAAATACTGTGGTATACACCATGGAGCTCTTCTGTGTATGGCTGGGCAGAAATTAAGGTGGTGGTAAGAAGGGCCAGTGGGAAACCGCTTTGTGACTTATGCTCTTTTCATAGTCCTTTTACTATGAATTTACTGTACTTTCATTATGGATGTATTACATTCTTGAAGGTAGAAAATTCTTCTTAGAGACTAAACCAATCCCAGAAACTTAAAGCTCACCATTAACAATGCTGATACTACACCAACAGGCTAAAACAAAGTACACCGCTAAGTCTGGGATGTTTAAAGGTTTTTTCCCAGAAGCTGTTGATTTCAGACCAGTGACCCAAGACTGAAATTCATTGTGAGTCAAGGGTAGAGGCGCATGGTGTATATTTTATTTTAATTGCTCTAAAAATTCAGCATCATACCATAGCTTCCACAGTACACAAAGGCTAGGGAACAGTTAATCAAGTATAACACACGTCAAACTACTGGAAGTGAACAGGGTATTGTGGGGTCACCAGTCCTATGCCTTTGGTTAAAATATTAGGTTCACTCTTTCATGCATGGAGTTTCTTTTCATTATAACTGACACAAGGAACTGGCACAAAAATCGTACTAAAGCCATTCAGACAATTGTGGCCATGTATAATGACCAGGACCTATTGAAAATTAAACAAACCTAGTCTTCAGACATTAAAGACTTTTTCCAGCCACATGTTCAGGTGGTTTCCACTTTGATATCTGCTTGGCAGAAACAGAGATGACGCTTTCCTGCTAAGGAGCTGATGGTCTCCTGTGTGGAGAGGAACTCAGTGTGTCCTGGATCAGCTTCTGATTTGTCTGCTTTTTAGTCCTGGTAACAGGAAGAAAGCCATGTTATTTGAGAGCCTCCAGTATGAGAGTGGCATATCTGTGAGTAGCAATTGAATCAAAATTTGAATAAGGTTTGTACAGCGTTTCATGTCTTCAAATTTTCTAGCAAAGCTGAAGGGAGCAGCTGCATAGCCTGTAATTACATAGCAAGTAATATGGACTTTTTATCTTTTTTTTTGGGTGTGGGGAAGTGCAGAGATTTTCAGTTACAAGTTAAAATTTATGGCACACTGTAATAACTGTTCAAACCTCTTACACAGAAGAAGCTAGCAGTGCCAGCTCTTTGGGAGAGTGAGGTTAGCTCAGCAAATGTATTTTTCAGCTGCCTTAAAAATGGCTGAGTAGCAGTCACATGGGCCTGTTTGGTTTTTTTTTGCATTCCAGCTCAGAACAGCTGGTTTAGCTCAGCAAATACATCTTTAATGAAATTACAACCTGCTCTCCTAAGTTGCATTTACAGGCACTGTCTGATTAGAGGAATATTGTACTAGAGATGAAAAGTAGCAACTGCACCAGCAGGAAGAGGTGTTTGTTTTACACACCTCTTATGCAACATGAGCGTAGGCAGAGAACCAAGAGCGTTGCTTCAGAGCGAAAATGGTGTGTAGTTTACACACAATATATTGCTAAGTCTTAAGAGATTGTAGGTTATTAAATGAAATAAAGCAGTGACACACAGCAGTGAAAATCATAAACAGCACAGTAACCTTTCTTATTTACTAAAATTAGGAATCTGTGGAAAATTATTTAGGGAAATGCATTCTTAATGCATAGACTTAACTGTATGTCAGCTCCAACAAAAGTCTGTGTAGGTGTTATTTTTTATGTCTCTGTCTTGCTGGTTTTAAAACTGGCCTCTTTGTGCCTGAA